ACAAAGTATTAACTTAAGGGGGCTGAATAATTTTGCACGCCCAATTTTTCAGTTTTTTATTTGTTAAAAAAGTTTGAAATATCCAATAAATTTCGTTCCACTTCATGATTGTGTCCCACTTGTTGTTGATTCTTCACAAAAAATTACACTTTTATATCTTTATGTTTGAAGCCTGAAATGTGGCAAAAGGTCGCAAAGTTCAAGGGGGCCGAATACTTTCGCAAGGCACTGTACATGCTAATTAGAGGAGGGTTTCCACTGTTGTTGAATTGGTGAATTTGCTTCTTTCACTAATTTCATGTAGTCAGTCCAACTGGACTTTTGATCCTTGGTTTCCATCATTTGTTTATTGCAACTGTGTTATTTTCTATGTATGCGCTGTAGGCAGCCAGTGGATTGGTGTTCCTGGAGAGCTGCGGGGCTATGAGGCAGTTCACAGACAGTATGGGAAGCTGCCTTGGGCCAAGCTGTTTGAGCCAACGATCAGATTGGCCAGGGAGGGCATACCTGTGCCAGCCTATCTGGCAAAACTCCTGAACTCCACAAATGTGGCACACCTTGTGGAAGGCTCATCTCTCTGGTACAGCTTCTCACGTACTGCATAGTGACTGAAAGCTTTTAAATACCTGCAAAAATGATCATTGTTAGCAAAAATGTTACTTCAGGATATTTGCTTTGTAACCACAATAATCAGAGATGTTTGAAGGCCCTGAAGAACTAACAGGTTTTGAGATCCTGCTGCAGCCCTTTCTGCTGCTGCTGCAGAAATCGTGGCGCAAAGGGCTCTTTTATGAATCTCTGGTCTGGTCTGGTCTGGTCTGGTCTGGTCATGCTAGTTTTATTTAACCCCTAGGTTAACAATCAACTGAGTTTTAACATTCAGGATTTCACACTGCATCACAGTTTAGCCTGGTTGACACGCTCATTTGAGCACTTTGTGGATTAGTGATGATTGTTATATTCTCGTAGCACAAGGGTTCACACTGTTAAGGAGCAGGGATTACTGTTCCAGAGATAAAGCAGTGTGTAGCTTCTTTCTTAAATATTTGTATAAAATGTTGCTCTTAAATGGGAGTTCACAGGGGGTTACGTTTGATGTGAAAA